AAATTAGTGCCGATCATGGGTTTGTTTAACTGCGGAGGAAGATTTTATCATGTGACTAACTTATCTGATTCATCAGACCAGCTTGCCATAACAATATGCAAAGAAGCATATAAAAGAGATTTCCCCTCTTGTCTTCATTTACATTCTCCTTTATCTCTGACAAATGGAAGGTTCTTGATATATTTTGCTAAGTGTGAACAGATTTGGCATCTATAGTTGACTCAGCATTTCAATATGGAGAAGTATCACATGTTTGTGTAAGTAAAACACATAAACAGGGCTGAGTTGGTTGCATTCACTAAATCATACAAAAAACATCTAGACATGGATGCAATGGATGTGGACTACTCACTGGACTCATGCAAAATACAAAGAAGACTATTGAGAAGCAACTGACAAGGAGATCAGAATAGCATATGAAGAATATAAAGACTTCTATATTAAATACCATCTAGAGTGGATTGTTATGAGGAATACCTCAATATCAAGACAAAAGGTAAGCAAGTGACACATGTTTATTGGGAGGATAGACAAGCAACAGGGAGAAGAGTTTGAATACTATTACTGGGTTTGTGCTATATTGCAAGGGAGGCAGTTGCAGTTGGGCATTATTAGTTGGGGCAGAGCAGAGTCATAGCAAAAGTTAGGTTATACATAAACTCATTTGAAAGGCAAATAAGCAAGATACAATACATTTGAGTTAATATTAAGTAGAGTAGAAGCAATGGTGGGAGAATAGTTCAAATGCATTATTATTATGACATGTATTGGGGTTGGGACTTACTTTATGCCGCCGTACCTATAAAAATGCTATCAAAATGGCACAAACATATTATACCAGAAGGTAGGTAAATCATACGAAACCATCTACTACTACTGAAAATGACGTTTCAGCCGTACGGTGCGATACCGCACTAAATGCTGAGACAAAAAAATTTATATGCTCCGATTTGCAAACCACTTAAATCCACTTATTTCGGTTATCGAAAAATATGATATATTCTTTCATAAATTAGTATACCATATGCGATATAAAGAGCATATATCTATTCCTGAAAAAATCGGCGCACCAGAGACTATGCGAAAAATTGAAATGATAACCGAACAGCCTACTATGCCATGTATATCAGAAGCTGATCAATTGGCGCTTGACAGTTTTCTAAATACATGGAATAAGGCAGTTGACTTATGCATGAAGCGCGCGCTTTGTACGTAAGTAAATTATCGTCTCAGTAGTTGTTGTTCAATGATAACATTTTCATGTAATGCGAAAAATGTTCAAATTGATGTTTTACTGCAGAGCAGGGCTGAAATGAAAAATGTTTCTACATTTCATGAGTCGAAGGCTCGAAGCTCCGCTTCCTTCCAATCACAAAATGACGATTGCTTCCGCTTTTGGAAGTGAAATTATTGTCTTTCTATGGTATTAGTATTGTATATAAAGAATTATGCTGTCTATTAATTTTGATGTATCTTCTCGCTGTAAGAGTAATACTGCATATTCTAAGCGTTTATCCAAAGTTTTGGAGCACCAAGTGTAGTCATGTCTTATTTGCTTAGTCTCGATATCTCAGATTGGAGCCCACAAGATATTCCTACCAGTTACCAAATTGTGTTCGATTCGAAGCTAACGGCGAAAAGCCAATATATTTGGTAAAAAATTTTCACAAATTGACATTGAACGAAAACAGGTACGGCTCAATGAGAAAAGAGAATGGGTATATATTCTCAATTGTGAATAAATTACGTGAAACAATAGACAAAATCGAAGAATTCTCTACAATAACTTACTTACAGATTTCCCAATACTCAACGTACCTGAAATCAATCAGGAACACATAACCGTCCCTCCACTGTAAAAAAAAAACACCAAAAACTATCGCATCAACCAACAAAAATAGAATTAGCTCCGTCCAATATATTACCCAACTTCTATTGTTACAGATGAGATACAAGAGCAAGCAAACGCTCTGGCATCTAAAAGATCTGAAGTACCCAAAACTTCCGTAATTGATAATTCTGTTGGCGATAAATCTAAACTCCCAAATTTACTCGTGAATGATAGACCTAAATCTTGCAACAAAGTAACCACAAACCAGAGAACAATGTGAGAAACGTCTCAGAGAATGATTGATCATGAAAAAAATAAGTCTTTATCGCGTGAGTACTGTATTACGATAGTATGTAAAGCAATTACGTAAGGTACCGGCACGGAATTTAGTTGCACATCTTGAAACTCGGTATCACGTTTGCTATTACTATACTAAATTTAGTACAACGTACTTAATTTAGTACAATGGATTACGTCATTCGACTGGCACATACGGATGTAGGTGAGTAGATATGATTGATTTCAGATCGAAATAGTTTATGTACGATGCCGAAGATATCACGAAAAATTACACTGGGGGACGGGTTAGTCGCAAACTAAGGACACTGCCAAGAGCTGCAATTACAACAAAGTGCGTATGAGTTGAACCTACGTTTGTATGGTACAGTTGTTAGTGAGTTAACTGGGCAAACTTTCAAGGACTTGGTGATGGAATGTTGTTGCAGACATTCTTGCAGGTAATTTACGATATGAGGGACCAAGTGTTTCAAATACAAATAGACATGTTTCCACCACTATAGAACAGTCGACAGCTCATGAGGATGATAGTGGGAGTAGTTCTGAAGAAGAACAAGTCGATGATACTAGTGAGGTTGACCTTACTGCTACAGTGAATTGGCAAGAGCAAGCAGTAACCATCGATCAACAAGATATCGGTGTACCTGTAATGCTTCAAAAGGCGTGTGTATTAACTGCTTTAGTAGGCATCTTTTGGATGATGTTAATACATGAAATTAAAGAGTAGATTTCAGTAAATTAGTGATTGTTTTATTTTACTTCATTAGCAATACCATTGCAGAAATATTCTAATAAATCATCATACTAAATTTAGTACAGGAGAAAGAGCGATGCATTCGAAACCAGTTTGCACAGAACTTTCAAGAAGTTCAATTCTGTGGTTGGCATGAAAGGCGTTTTTGACATGCTGTACTAAATTTAGTACGATCATCAAACGGATACAAGCATTATCTGTTGAACGGAAAGTCGTAATATTCCATATCTATTGTGCCTTTTAAAGTCATTGTATTTATCTTGTAGCACGCCACAGCGACGTCAGGAATTCCAGGTTGACGACGGAACCTTTAGCAAATAAAAAGGGGAAAGAAAAGTGGATTAGATGAAGCTATTATAGAATCTTAAACATATGAAAAAAGTTGGGGGGTTTTTTTTCATACCAATTAGGGAGAGCACGTTCCCATATCGCAATTAGCATACTGTCTCTGAACACGAAGATGGTGTTGCTATAGTTGATTGCTCCCGCCGTTACCAAGGAGTTTATTATGGCGTCTTGGTTTTGTCCGGCGACTCCATTTCGGTTGTTGGGAGAGGCAGGAACGTCATTAAAACCAGCGGTATTCCACTGGATCACAAGAGCCGGTATATAAGTATGTTTATTTGTTGCTTTGAGAATGAGAGAAGCAATGGCAGGATTCTGAAATGTTGTAGGAAGGGTTGAGGGAGCTAAAGATACGTAAATAACTTTATGTACAAGAAATAATCAACTGCCAATTTGTACGTACTTTGATTACACTTCTTTGCGAGTACCTTGACCTTGTGCTGTTGCACTCTGTCACGGATAGACTTGAAAAGCTTTTCCATCGTAATAGTTGCAGCGAAGAAAAAGATTGTTATAGTGATATATTCTGTGATTTCGGCGATTTTAATTATTATTATCGTCCAATCAAATCGCGTGAACAGTTAAATATATCGATAATGCCACGCTCCCATATAGAGGCGGTTAGTTAAATTTGGTTGATTTATTTCCGATCATTGGATTCGTCAATGACGTAATAGGTTATATAATAATAAGAATTTTTAAAGATCCGACAAAAAAGTTGATCAAATTTGATAGAATGATCAAATTGGATCTCCTTTTTCTCAACAATTCAAATGCTCAAAAGAAATGAGAACGAAGGTAAATTCTATTTTTCAATAATCAATCTTAAATATTCTAATCATTTCTAACATTTCACTACAGAACTTGATTTGTCATTATATCCTACTATCGAAGAGGTAATGCGAAATATCTTTCCGGAAGCAGAAAACGCTAATGTCAAAAGATATGTCAAGCAAATTTCTAGGGCTAATAAATTAGATCCGATCGTTGTGATTAAGCCCAATCCTACTTGGTCGCAACTTACGGATGGATTGCATATAACAATGCCATGGACCAATTCGCAACAGATAACCTCAACAACAACCAGAGAAGGGACGAAAATAGCAGATGTATATTCCCATTTGGATATCCAGGAATTGCATACTGTTCGGGATGGTATTTGTAGCGGAGACCTTACCCAAACGGGTTCCACGTCCCTCAAGGACTACAAGCGAGTATCGTACCTGGAACTAATAATCCGGTAGTGATTGGACGAGCGTATTTAGTTATGAAATTGGGAATCAGAAAATCGGAATTTTCGGAAGACAAGAATTTCTTTCATGTTGCGTAAAATGCTGAGGGGCAAAGGATAAAGATAAATTTTTATAATTTGGATATCAATTGGGGAATAATTCTTAGTCTTCTTACTACAATAACAAGTAAAATGTGCAAATTAATTTCACAAATCACGTGTTAGTCACATGCAGGACCTTAGGGTGACTGAAAATATTAATAGAAAGTTCCCTCTCGCCGGGAATGATTATACTCTCTTCATTTCGCAGAGCATTTAATGAAAGGGCCTCGGGTTGGGAAAATTTGGTATTGTTTGCTTAAGTCTCACCATATTGGAAGTTGACGCACTTATTTTATTTGCAATACATTGAATAAAATCAAGTACGGGGCTTTGATCATGATACATGATAAGTCTATCCTATTCACTGCGTCCAATCTCTATCATTCAACCCAACGATACCCATATCTAACACCCTATTCTACAATCGATTCCTTAATCTATTTCATTTATACCTTCATATTCCGACTGGTCCCTTCATACACAGCACCTTCCAGGAATGAAATCTAGGTATTAGTTACAACTTTGAAGACGCCTCCTTGCAAATTCTCAGTCTCAACATACCTTAATTGCGTATGAAGTAAACTACCTGTTTCGTCTCGCCGGCACTTTTACATACCGCAACATGTGCACCTTCACTTGCCGATATGTGTTAGAAAAAGATATCGCGAATATGTATTTGTGAAAAGCATAGCCCCTAAAGTTTATTGCTTGAAGTGTTGCAGGTATAGACAATATTCCGTTTCATGTTCGCATATGGGACTTCAACATCATTCGCAATGGTTTCGGGTGAGCCGTCGTTAAGAATGCTTAATGCTATTTAGTGGGAAAAGTCGTTCTGCACCGGTGGTGACAATTATCGCCGAGCTCAGAAGCAACAATGTTTTGCATTTCGTTAGTGTTTTGGGTATCCATTGCAAGTGCAGTCACGATTTTTCAAAAGTATATTATTGGTTATAAAAAAGTTCAAATAAAAAAATTTTTTAATTGACTATTTATTAGAAACAATAGTGTTAGATACAGAATACGTGTATCAAAAAATTAATTAGCGAACTAGCAAAGCTAATATATTACGCAAACTGGCAAAATTTGCAATAAAGGCTGTTATAGACCCGAGGGTGTAAAATTCATTGAAAGGCTCCTACGCGTACCTTGTAAAGAATCTGGTAAGTTGACATTCTCTACGTTTCGTGCATGTAGAGAGCATTCCGGCAAGTATCGGTTTAAAGATTATTATCAACGAAAAAAGCTAGCAAAAATCACCGAGAACATATCTGAGAGTGGCACCACAGTAAAAGAGTAAGTAATTATTTTCGAACACTTACTATGAAGTAGCTCACAATGCGAATAAAAATCCGTCCTAGAAAAAAAATATAGCCGTCCGAGGATTCTTTTTTCTTTTTTTTCTCTAGGACGACCAAAAGGTAGATTAATAGTAGTTTTGAGCTAATAGACTTCTAGACCACCTGTCCTAACGTCCTAGAACGTCTTAGAAAATTTCAGATAAGTGCTCTTCTTCTTTCTTTATAATTTTTTAGATGCAGGAGCATCCTCGCTTTGCGAGACTTCCGAGAATATATTTTTCTCTAAAATTTCGGATTTTCCTAGGACACTAGGACGGATTTACAAAAATAGAACAACAAGGTAAATGACGAAAATAAGGCTTTCTCATGTAGCCTAAGTAACTTTTTTTTTCTAGGACGGATTAATTTTAATATTAAAGATATGCTACAGAAGTAACCTACTTGCAGAAGAAATAAAAAAAATATTTTGGAGGTGCACTCCGTACATTCCAAACATATATAAAATGTCAAGCTCCGATGAAGAATATTATGCAGCTGATGAAAATATTAAAATGCATGAGTCAGAGACTCGAAGCTTTGCTTCCTCGTTTTTAGTTTATCCTGATTATATTCAATTTCTCATTAATTTTATTTTATTATGGCCCGAAAATAGAATCGACAGTCTTAATTCAGCAGATTTATATCAAAAGTATTTCCTGTAAAAAATTGGAATTAGGAATACTTTTGACTTACATTTTAACAATCATTGTATCGACAAGTAGATTTGGGGTATGTAAATCAGGTTTTTGGGGTAATCAGCCGCAAATTATATATATATAATCCCGGGAATTATATGGTGATGCAAATTATATACAACATAATTATCGTAATTTGGAGGCAACTTGTTACAGCTTTATAACAATAATATATATAATTTTATCATTACTATTTTCGAAAAGTGCAATCAATTAGCTTCAGAACCATAGAAAAATTGTTGTAGTTTGCATAGTACACATGGCAGGATAGATTTTTTTTTAAAAAAAAAGAGACTTTTCATATGTTTTACTAGTAAAATTTTGTGTCACTCACTCATTTATTGGAGGGCACTGTACATTATTGATATTGCTATTTTCGATGAGGACATTTGTGCTGCACCTTGCCTCACTTCAATGACTCTTCCATCCAAAACTTTACTTCATTGTTTGCAGAGAATTCACTAGCCACTTTTTTCTTTTCCAGTAATGTGCTGGGAAATGTTGGTTGCATTAACCAGCACTTAGAAAGGGGATGGATTTATTATTATTGGTAAGGTTTGCTTATATTGTTGACATTGTTGTAAGTTGCTTCTTGACCAGGAAGGAAAAAAAGAGTCTGGCATCAAATGTCTGGATTATCAAAAATCTGAATTAAAGAGGGACAATTATTATTTGTTTAACAAACAAAGAACTAATAAGAAGAGGGAGAAACATCTGAAGAGGTTTGGAAACCATCTGTTACTATCTCTACTTACCAACAAGGATGAATGAAAGCTGTAAGATTTGAGAAACTGGAAACCCTTTACAAAGGTCATACACTCCATTCCTTGCTTAATTTGAGCTGAAAAATGCTCCAGGATTCTGTTTATAATATGCAACCAGTCCTGAATGGCAGGCTGTTGCTTCATAAATGATGGTATTCAGAGAATGTCTGAAAGTATTCATAAAACTCTTCTTGCATAAACTTCATATTATCTATTCCCCATGTGTTTGCCTTGTCAAGTTGGAATGGTAATGGGGACACATCCATGGTTTGTCCACAACCACCACTATCATATGCACCACAATAGCCATAAGAGGTGAATGTATTGCTGTGCAGCCTTGAACATGTCCCAAAAAACATTTACTGGTTCGGTGTTCTCACCCTCTGGTTTATGAATCTTCTGGACTTCATCAATGATAAGTATTGTTGGATGCATAATGCGAGAACACTCTTTAAGAAAGCACTCCAGCTTATGCACATCAAGTCCTCGAATTCGTCGTTGAATACAAATCCCTTGTCATATAATAGTGAGATGCGAAAAATGCGATCCTTGTGACCTTCGTTCGAATTAAGCAGGTAACTGAGTTTTCCCGACCATTGGCGGAGAACGAATGAGCAGAATTCGCTTCTCAAACAGATGAGTGACTAATCTTATCGTTTGTATCCTCTTGCAAACCGTCTTCAAGGTTCACACCCTCGTACCCAAGACCAAGCTCATCACCGTTACAGACAGTGCTGCCCAAGCGTAACAGGTAAGCTCCGAACATAGAAATATTAGCCAAAAGACTATTGCGAGTCTCGGCGTATAGCCGAATTCTTATTGGATTATAATTAGGCGAATCTGTTCAGGATCGTCTAACCTTCCCGATTGCCGACAAGATGATGGGGAACAAAAGAATGGGAAGGGAAAGGGAAAGTTAATCAATATTGCAAAACTCCCACAGGTCCATAGGTAATGCCTGTTATAACAGCATTCGAATTATCTATTAAAAATGGGTTAATTGCAATATGATTGTGATAGGATAACATTCACTAGTCTTTGAAACAATTTATATCATAACCTTCACTAGCACAAAATCACTTAACACACATTGTAAAAGCATTCGCAACTCCAACGCGTGTTGCAATGCATTCCAACTATTCCCCCCTGTTGATCCATGCTATTCCAGAACCCCGTTGCTCCTCTATTAACCTTGTCCTCTCGAGTTCGTCTTTGAAACGAGTTTATGTACAACCTAGCTATGCTACAATTCAGCTCATCCTGTGCCACTAAATCTACTTGTAGCCACCTAATTTATAAGTTAAATTATTTCTTATCATAATTTGGAATGAATGTCATGCATTGGAGCAAATCGTCATCTATTATTGGTAGCGTTTCCTTTTCACACTCTCTCCAACACCTCAAAACTATGAACTTTTACTTTTGGCTCGCGTCCAATAGCAACAACGTTCATCAAAACCTTTCTAGTGAAAGGTGGCAATATTTCGAGGTGGAGTTGCCACTCTACATTTCAGATCAATAATATTTATGCTGTTTAATACTCTTAATTATCTTCACCGATTTCTCTTTTTTTTTACTATCCGCTTTTTTGCGAAGCTGGTTTTTTCCTTCGATGGATGGGTTATTTTCACGCGGCGTGAATCTGATTGGGCATGAGCCACAGCTTTGGTCAATCAGTCAATACTATCAAATAGCTCTTCGAGAAGTTCTGGCCAACTTATGCCCTGAGTTGAATATAATTGACTATTTAATGAATAAGGAAGGACATGCCACAACTTATTAAAAGTAGACACCCTCTTCCAGAGAGAATGGATAATTTGACAGAGAAGCCAGCAGTTATTAAAAATATAAATATTGATGTATTAGTAGATCAACATGTTAAATTTTTAGATAGATACTATTTGTAAAGTTCGTAATAAGCTTCGGGCGCAGTTTTGTCCGAGTAGTGAACATAGGGTCCCAGTGTGTTGATCGAAGCATTGGCGTGCAGTCTATGCTTAAAAAAGCCCAGTGAACGACCGCTGATTGTGCAATTTCAATAAATGCATGCTCGTTAAAATTTTGATACAAATTATCATAGCTCATAGTCTCCATTATAACAAATAAAATAGCAGTCTTTATTGACGACACGAATATATTCAGATCATCAAGCCACAATACTGTATGCCTGCCTTAGCATTCGCTTTAGTAGCTTCTCCTGTCAACACGCATATGACTTTGACTAGACCGAGCTAGTCGTATTCCGCTAGATCAAGGGCGGTATTAAGAAAATAAGGAAAAAATAGGCGTATTACTCGGCAACGCATTGACATTGATAACGATTACGATGTAGAAAAATCGTCCGTAAGATGGTTCGCAAATACACACATCCTACAATCATCGAGTGCTCTATGATAGACATATTAGAGCAATGCCTTCTCGATATCTACTTTTTTTGGCCTTGGATAGTAACAACAACAGTTCTTGTTGATGCATGATTTCTGTGTTCACACAAGTATATTCTAAATGACAAGAATCATTAAAACATATCGTGAGATTTGTATGCATACAATTTCCGGACTACAGTTGTACGCTTACCCCTGCCATGTGCCCAGATTGAGTCTGCCGGATGTAATTGGAATATTGAGAGATGTTCCGATTATAGCACATTTAAGATGTGCAGGCTACAAGAACGTAGAATAGAGAGTAAAATGAATGATTGAGTTGGTAACATCTAATCAAAATGCAAGAGCGATCAAGGAAGCAAATCTTATTTGAAAAGCATCACACTTTACGCTTTCTCGTAATAAATCAATCCAAAGTGAAATGCTGACTATGCTCTATAGATATTGCTAGTATGAACGTTATCACTACCGATACAATTACCCGTCTTACCATATCATCAGATCCTTCCGCGTCATGTACGTAGGGAAGTGTCTCGGGTACAATATTATTTAGACCCATTTCCATATCAACACGTACATCCGGATCCGCATTTTCGTTCAAACAGAGAGATGCAGAGGTATGTTTTACTGAAGGGCAAGTCAGATGCATGCATAAACTGAGCGACTGGAGCAAAGACCAGAGGAATTTGTGGTCAATGTATCCCATCATTGTACATACGGAAAACGTTGGCCATGCCAATGGTGTACTCCCTCAGCTCAGGTATTTGTCTCTCAATCTCGTGGGTTATCAGATGACACCCTCGACGCTTTGCCGGCAGTCTTATTGTCTTTTGTAACCATGACATGTTAGGAATGTATGAGCGAGAGAGAGAGTTGTTTTTTTGTTTTGTTTTTTTTTCCGTTTGTCGGATAAGACAAGTGTACCTGATAAGACCGCTGTGACGTCATTAATCATGGATATATAAAAAGATGTATTTGCAACATAAAATGCACCGATAGTTTGCATGATTGGGCGATGTTGGTTTGTTTGGGGCGTATACGCTATTATGCATGATGCTGCTGTGTGTACTCGTGCAAATTTCCAAGCCGAAAATTTTTTTATATAGCTAAGCTTTTTTCATTCATCACGCACGCCGCACCCTATATGCTTGGTGATATAATCAAGTGTGCTTTTGCTTTTAACCCCTGTAATTTTAGGTTCGCCTCAAAGCTGTCACATCGTATGCGCATACAAGTGATACAAATAGATTTGGTGCGTAGGAAACTGTACTTCTTTGTTTGTGTCGCATTGTTGCTGGTAACGGCGTGTAACATCTGCTGTTCTGTGCAACGCCTACGATGATATCATACGAAAAAAAGCTCTGCAGTTTGGGGAAGGGGAATCAAGCCCAAGATAGACAGTACGCAGACTATATATGGTGAACGAAACAATATGTTGTGTAGTTTGTATGATCCTTGATAACCTTATTTATATATTTAGATGCAGTATTGAATATTCAAAAATTGAATTGTTTTGTGATTTGTTAAGCTTAATTGGAAATGCTTTCTGCTTGGTGGATTCCTTTTTGTGTCTAGTTCAGTTTATTATGTGATACTATTTGCGAGATTGGGCCCCTATCAATGCAGGAGAAAAGTACGTTATACATACGGTATTGTTTATTAGATGCATCACTTATATTTGAGTGTGGCGACAAGAACGAAGACTCGTCCGATATCGACAGGCGCATGATTGTACATTCGGGGGTAGGTGGTATACTGTATAATACATAAGCTTGAGGGAATTAGATTTGCGATAGTCACTTGGTCATGTAATTCGTCCCACAAACTCGTAACCAACCATTCTGTTGCATGAAACAAACAATGGCGATGGCTAGCCACTTCGGAATGATATAAACAGAAAGAAACCAAATGGCGACCGAATACGTTGATAACAAGGATCAGTTGGCGCATAACATATTAGGTAATCATACCGATGATTAGAATGTGACGAAAGATTGACGAGATCATAACATGCACTCCATATGACTATCATTTCCATCTATGCTTCTTACGTAGAAATAGTACACATCACAACAAAATTGTGTAAATTACACGCATTAGACATTTGGTCATTGCTTGCACAGAAAACAATTGAGCAATGCATGTATTAGTGTGCTGCAATGTCATGAAGTGTATCATTAACAAAAACATTACATGCGAGCCTTTGACTGGAGCTACATTATTTGACATGGTCCCCAATCGGCACGTGGATATCACTGATCAGTATTACATAATAATACACAACGTAATGATTGTCTGAAGATCCTGAAGATTAGAGAATATGCCGAGTATAAGGCTAGCAAAGCGATGTTGATTAAGAGGGCATCAATCAAATATTGAAAAAAAAATAGGTCCCTTTTTTTCGCGAGTTTTCGGGAATATTTTCACGTGTTTATTATGAGGATGAATCATTCTGCACAAGATATATCTCCCTCTCCTTATTAATAAGATATGTATGATTGGGAGGCAATCAATCATTTCACCTCCAAATATTTACCAACATTATTTCGAATTTATCCTTTTTTAGTAGTTAATTATCGGTGAAATGTACTGTCGGTGAAATTATTGTCGATGAAATAATACGGAACCTGTAAGATTTAACGCCAAGCTTTAATTAATTTCAGTAACATTGGCAGCCTGAAAACTATGCAACGATATATTTCACAGCCATGATAACTTGACTTATCAACTTTGTTTTACATTATGTCATACAGTTTTGAACCTATTGAAATTGATATTTCTACTATTCAGATGCGTAGGATTCTGCACAAGTAAGCAATATACTAACAAAAGAGTTATGTAATTAAAAGTTCACCTACACGGTGCTCACCGTCTTTTTCTGGACAGCAATCCATCTTGAGCCTTACAAATTCACAAGATTGCTATTATTGAAATCGACCATACTTGACAAATGCAAAGGTCTAATGCGAATGTGTTATAATTTAAACTTGCACGCATAAATATGCTAGACGATGGGTGCTTACACAGTAAATGCAACGGCATATATGAAACATGTTTTTATACAACGACAGTTGGCATCGTATTTTGGAAATTGAATGAGATATCTTAAAGTGCTTAGTTTTCAAGAGCTATTAATACTGTTGACGCACAATTTGCATACCGGTATTTCACTAATAAACTACATATTGATAATGAGTTAAAATTTTGCTTCAAATTTTTTCAGTCATCAATGTTTGTAGGTTGCGAAAAATTGATTGACAGGCAACCTATGACCATCATACACTGTCCATTGTCAGCAGACTCGAATCATAATCCTGTTTATAAGAGAAATAATTACTACAAGCAACCGATCAGTCAGTTTTCTGACTTTCAAGTACAGTAATATTTTGAGGCGTTGAAAGGTGTAAATTCTTAACGCTCTGATCCGAAGTTTGGAGGCAGAGACAACATTTCACTCCATATAAATATGAACGGTTGCTTATTTGCAATTTAAGTTTGCGGGATTGTTGTGTCTGAGTTTGGGACCTGTCTCAGTTCGGAACCCAGTAACTCAGTCCAGAACTCAGTTGTCTCAGTCCCCAACTGAGGTACAACAGGATTAATGCTATAAGCAAATAATAAGATAAACACCAAGTTATAATAATACCAGTCAAGTCGCGCTAAATATAAAGCCTTACTCTATGGCATTTATCAATTACTTTTAACCACGATTCAGAGAATTATTATTATTAGAATCGAAACGACATTTAGTTTTATTTGATTATTTATTCAAGATTATAACAATTATGAAATTTGATTACACTTTAATCGGGTATTATTTTTGCCACACTGTTATGTAAAATATTTGATTATTATAATTATAATATTATAGGTTTAGTGTAACTATAGTGAAACTTTTAAGACAGAGATTAACATTGGCGCTAATACTAATCCAAAAGCAAGCACTGTTAAATGCTAACTGTCAACTATTTGTATAATTAACATCATAAATAGAAACAATGATTTGGTATTAACCTGGTCACTACAGCAATAAACAGCAAATGTAAATGACTAATAAAGATTCCACTATCTGTGATAAATTTATCATAAACAGCTCTCAAGCAAGGCAACTTCTATGTAGTTATAAAAGAAATAGACAGGAGCAGTTGTGATATCCACAAACATGTACTAGAAGATACGAATAGGGTATTATCATTTATCAGTTTCTCCACCTTTACGATTTTTTTGCAGGCAACAGTTTCGCAAGCAGGGAGTCATCTTTAATGTTCTCATCACCATCTTCAAATGCTTCAACCCACCAGTAAATAGTGCGTTCAGACAGTGTACTGGGTCCTTCAACAACTCTCAAATCTTGTTTTGTAGTTTGACCGTTTTTCTAGCAAACAAAAATGCAATAATGTTGGTATTCTCACGTAGTATTTATTCTCCAATAGTTTTAGGGTAAGGACTTTTAAATATAAAACAAAAATTTCAACGATCGAATCAAATTGTGTCAGGTTTTTTATGCAAGAACAACTGAAACCTGGACTTTAATTATATTATTAACTTGTTTGAGTAGTTTGCACAAATCATCAAGAATAAATATATATTGTCAAAACTTTTCAGACACCCTACGTATATAATTATCTTTATACGAACTATATTTTGTTCAAAAACTAAAGCTTAAACCTATAAAGTGTTATGTAATATATAGGTTGTTAAACTTGTCATTTTCTGGTAATAAAAATTGTACTTGTTGTAAAGTTTTAAGACCATTTATGGTACTGTATTAGTATAGAAAATTGTAGCACTGCAATAAAATTTAAGGTTTTACTTCTGTTACCAGGTGCAAACTGAAAATTTAACAAGCCAGCTAATTGTGTAATAAGTTTAGCAGTTTAAATTTAACAACCAACTTGATTAAAAATAGGCAAATATTAAGGAGCTAGAGAGACACAATTGCCTCTCAAGACACCACAAAATTTGCAACATTCAGAAGTTGTCTTGGCTGGCATGTTTTTATAAAGTTTACTATCATTTTCATAACCATAAATGTTTGAACCAAATATGTTGTATTTGTCAAAACAATTACTGTTGAGAATATTTTCAAACAAAACCATTAATCAGGTATTTGCACAAATTAATTGACAACAGAAAAATATTGATAGTGCTAAAGATTACTAGTAATTTATATTAACATTTTTATAATATACAATAAACTAATGTTATTACTATATAGAATTATTATTAAATGCAAATAGTTAGACATAATAACAATGCTTATTTCTAACTTTCTTATTTTAGTCGACTATGTATTACTATAACTGTCAGAATGATAGAGGAGTAAATTGGGATTTCTGAGTACATCTTAAATAATCAACTCGATCTCAATAAAGTGTGTTCAAGATGGATTTCATATGTCATGACAATGCACCACCTTAATGCAGAAGTTGCTTAAAGAGAGAAAGAGTCTATTAATGCCACATATTTATTACAATCCAGATCTAGTTCCTTGTGATTTTTTTCTATTTTTTAGAATAAAAAGAAACGGAGCAATTTAGAAAGTTGAAAGTCTTCCACAAGCTGTCCAGGCAGTGTCTCATAACATACCAAAGAGGGTTACTATATATATAAAGCCTTTCAGAATTGGTAAAAAAGGCTGAAACATTGTATAGAAACAGGCTTGAGAGCAATTTGAAGGGATGCAACAATTTATTTTAAAACTATTATGTACATCTTCAAGAAATAAATATATTGTCAAAACTTTTCAGATGCCCTACATAGATTATTGGTTTATGTTTTTATTTCTGACCACAGCTATTGACTTAAAAATATTAAACTTTTCTATAAGATATACAGCATATTTAGTTTTATATAACCATTATTTTATGCATGCATTTTAATGTTTTGGGGTTTTTTTATCAGTTTGGAAATTCTATAATAATAAGGATTAAGGCTGAGCGACATGTTTAAGAACCTCTTCACCTCAGTTCCATTATAAACAGCAGTTGTCGTGTTGAAAACTGTAGCCATTTAAATATACAGTACTGTACAAAAGTAATGAGAACTTTTTTTGCACTTACCAATAAAATTCTATTTGTCAAACCAATTCTACTCCAATTAGAAGACAGTTTTGTAGAATAAATTTTACATCAAATTATGCTTTATAACTTGGAATAATTATTGCTACAAAGGCAATTTTAGTCTAAATGTTTAAAAGTGCTAGACTGCTCTCTAAAAGTCCCAGATCTCAATCCAATTGGAAATCTATGGGAAATTATGAAAATAAATGCTCTGTTTATAAAAAACAACTGGTTTCAAAAATTTTATAAAAGAAACATGGATAGATTGCGACTTAGCTTTAATAACGTGCCTAGACATATTGGTGACTAAATTTATATACATGTTTATTATATTCTGGACAAACTTTACACAAAGTTTCAAGCCAATCCAGCTGTTGGTTGTTGAACTATTAAATAATTGGTAAAACTTTTAAAGTTTATTACAAGACAAAAAATAAACCGATGAGATTGGGCTAACGAAATGTATTAAAAATTATAATATAAATTTGCATCCCTCGTAAGTCGTGCATAAATATTCTATTTAAAATTTTGGTTCGCAATAAAATTTTGGTGTCGCATGGGATACCAAGTTGATTATTGGTGACTGTCACCAGGTAGACAGGGTTTATTATGGCAACCAAATATTTTTTGGGGGGGTTGCCTTGCCCAATTACAACCGAGAAGCTCCAAGTAAATATTCACCCCAAAACTTTATATGATTTTTCGGACTGCCTCAATGATCGCTCCATTAGGGAACTATGAGAACAAGACATTTATGCACGTTGTATCTTGGCGTTGTCCCGAGTCATCCTGTGGCCCGCCTGTATATACAATGACGTAATTAAAAATTAATTAAATAATTAAAAACACAATGCTATCATTATTTATGGGCTGATCGACTAAGTTTGACCTACAACCATTTCTCACTCACACTCTTGTTTGATATGCACTCGGCAGTGATTCCTTAAGTCGCAAACTTTACACGCACGCCAACATTAAGTGCATATTTTTGTATAAACAAAAACGTTGCGACCCATCACGGAGGGAAAGGGGGAAAGAGCCGAATAAGCTATTGTACCTTGTTTTATAAAGTCACATTACATAATCATAATGACGTTATGCGGTTCACACTCTAACTATAAAAGTAATGAGTAACCATAATAAGATGAGACGGTGGTTAAAAAAAGCAACTTACGTAATCGACGAAAGAGGCTTTCACAATGCTTTTTCATATATACAAACTCGAGTAAACAATAAATTCCCATGACTCACATTCCATGCTTGAACCTGTTATTTCAGCACAGCCATCCTTAATATGCAAACAATCCAGCTTTTTATTCGTCTGTGTGTATTAATATACGCTTGTTTGCAGTTCTACAGATACAACGGTTGGCCGCCCACATACCCGTTCGGTGACAAAGAACATTGTAAAATTGTTTATTTTAACAAGAATGGGATTATATGGTTTCACTCACTGCCCCTAATCAATATCGCCACATTTCACCAATACGCATCGACATAATTGCCGACATTGCGATATTGTTTGCATGCAGGACAAGACCATGAACAATGGCGTAGATGTCTGAATATGGAAAGAGTGTGTGATATATATGTCAATGATTAAACCGAACAAAGGGAATAGCTTTTTACATCACTGTGACAGAGCCAAGTATTGACGCTTCTCAACATTCGGGTGATACTATTGAACGGGTAGCACATTGCCACCCCACGCCCCATCCCCCCCCCCCTTTTTTTTTTTTTTTACAAAAAGACCATTCATTTTTGTTATAACATCTCGTCCCTGTTAATTTGTTGGTACAAAGTTTATTCTGAACCCCCATTTCTGGATACCGTCCCAAACTGACGTCTAGATTCAAACTTGTATGGTCCGGGACTGATGTAGCTGATAAGACACTGTCAATTGAGACTATTAATAGTCTTCCCGTCACCTTTGTTATTAATTACTATTCTTTTCTTCATATTAATGTGTGACTATCAACTGCGTTCTCCCGTTGCATCTTCGAAACGTTTATTCTAGACCCAATGGCCATGAGAAAAATTAATTATTGAGTATGTCCACAATTAAAAAGTGACTTGATTGCTATTTGCATTTAATGGGGCCGTCCTTCATATACCTTGATATGACAATACGTCTAGTTTCGGTCCGAGGGGGTGACTATTTGATAATGTCACCGTTATATGTATATACGATTATCGATTATTTATATTACTTGACTTGTTCATGGAAGAAAACGTTTGCCGAATATAGAAAGACTACACCAATTTTGAAGGTTCGCCCTCCACTGGTTATTCTGTTTATACGTATTCGGATAACGTTCACCTAGTGACTATATTTATTTATACATACAGTGTGTTACAAAAGTCTCTAGACACCTATAACACAGCTTGCGTTATATCAGATGATTATTCAACAAAGGACTCGAAACCTCAGATGATTAAACACTCGTTTGAAAGCTAAATACTAGGCAATTTCATTTAAAAAGTTAATTACGTATTCGTTATCAGAACTTTCATTAATTGACCGATTAAATAATTTACAACATTTAGCGGAATAGTATCCCATAAACTGTTCTAATTTCTTGGTTGTCGTTTCCCCACTCTTTCCTTGACAATGAATGAATGGCCCATAAGTTTTCAATAGGGTTTAGGTCAAGATTGTTAGAAGGCAATCCATATAGTCGAAACATATTTTCTCTGACTATGTTGCTTGTATGTCTGTATGTCTAGAGTTGGAGCTGCTACTTCTTACCAAGCACTTTATTAGCTTCAGAAATGTGTTATCAACATGAATTGGTCAGCCATGTTCACAAAGAATGTGAGATTCAATTTTATTGCAAAGACTTTTGTAACACATTGTATATCTTATATCTCTAGCTTTACTATTACTCGTTTGATTTGCCTTTAATTAACTTGAATCATAGTATCGGAAATGCCACATTAATTCTATTTTGCCTGGCCATTCATATCAATGAATAGATCCGTTTGGTATGCCTTAATTAAGTTGCTTAGAATTTTAGATCTTTCTTCCTTTAAACCTTAAATGTTTGACAATTTTAGGTCTTTGACGTTGTCCTAGACTAGCCTTTCACAGGGGTCCTTATGGGGTAACTTTACCCCTTTTGTAACGGTGCAGTTGTCACATTGATACGCCAAGCTTTCGGAGGTGAGCGCTGTGCTGTACTCAAAAGTCCATACGTCAGAGTTGATTGATCTTCATGAATGTGAAAGGCTTTTTTACAGGCCAATTATTGCAACAATGCGTGGTCTGATTTGGCAAATATATTAACTTTTATTTTATCACTTTATCATAGGTAAGTAAATATGAATTACTAGTCAATCGTAACAACGCCGAATATAAACTCGATAGATCTGTATGAATTTCCCCTTCCCCCCAACGTTAGAACAAAAGACAAGGTCAACTGATTGTTGTTCACAAATTACTTAAACAGATTTAAATGAGAAAGGAAATTACCAAATCTGATCATTCATTGATGCAAAAGAGGTATATTTTGAGAAGAAAAAAAAAAAAAGATTGATAAGACAATAATCCCCAAACAAAAACCACGTAACCAGCGTTCGGAATAATTATAGTGTCGTACTGCACGTAGAAGAATGAAAAGAAGGAATACCAACTTCCAAACAAAGAAGATATTCGTATTGTTCAGACATTTGTACCCACTGTACATGATGACGATAAGAAAAAGATTAATAAGTCAGCAAAGTTGCACCTAAAAGGCTAACAGTATGTAGACTAACTTTATTAAAAGTTGAACACAGTAAATTGTGAAAAGCTACCAGACATAATTGGGAATGAAGCCTTCTAGATCAGCACCTATGTTCTGTTTAAAGAAAGACAAAAAGTTAGGAAGCACATAATTACTAACACGGTCAAAATACCGAAAATCCGTCAATTTATAATCATAATCAGGCGTCTTTTGGTTTTAATTTCCGTAAGGAATCCCTGATAGGCTACCATTCGTAACGTTGAAATCATGCCCGATATCTTGCGCTACCATCGGACAAACTATTAATTGGAAGTCAAAACAGAAACTGTCATTTGTGCGTTAACAAAGTGTCTCGGCATGCCAAGAGAAGTTTGGGCAAGTATATTATAGTGAAACCCAACAAAATAAAATAATTTTCAAAATATTTGTTCTTCGTGGTGAATTTTTTGTAAATAATTATAATTGCATTGTCAAATATTGGATATCACAAGAATACAAAGGCCGTGCAGATGTGAGAAAAAGAAAAAAAAAGTCTTGTATTCCCAACATATCGATCGAAAGGATACCCCTTAAATGTGATTATCGTGCCACAACAGCTCGTCACTCTTTCACAACATTGCAATACAGCGAAAGGGCTCTAAATTTAGGGTGCTCAATCATGAGATGCCTTGCCCGTAAAGTGTCCGCTATCTTCCTCGAAATAGTAAATTGCCCACGGTTGATTTAAATCTATGGAGTTGATAAAAAATGTGGCTTTTCTTTCGTAAAACAAAAGTCATACATATTGTGATTATGCAATGCGCTTGTTCTAGCACTTTACATTATGTCTTTATTTGTGTTAAATTTCCCCCAAAGTTTACAGTAACGTCATGCAGAATTAGGAAAACGCTAGGATAGTTGTCAAACGGTTTAATTGTTACCGAATTGCATAATTAGTAATTAATGTGGTTTTGTCAAACATAATAATAATTATTATTATTATTAATTCCTATGCGTGACCAATGTCACGTGATTAAGTATGGAAATGCGTCTAACTAAAAAAGTGAGCGAAAGTTGGCTCCATTGAGGTAGGCCAAACGCCTTGTAAACGGAATTGGAAGGTACAAAGAATGGGCCTTTGATAGGGGCTTAGATATTCATATCCTACATGTTGATCAGAATGTGGGTATGCAAGATTCCTTTGATTCAGTACGGTTTGTTTGATCAGTATTTTGATCTTTGCCTCACGCGCATTGGATGCCTGATTCTTCATTCAAGCAACACCCTGCTTAAGAGCGCAATACAAATATGAGTTCTTTGTCGACATTGTACTAGTTAGTCGTTATTGGACTAGACTTGAATGGTTAAGTCGTTTGTAGTTCGAATAAAGTTTAATTGAGCTGTGGCTGTGTCGGCTATTCGTTGCTCACTGGTACATTTTACCACGAATTGATAATTAATAAAACTGTGTTTAATCTTTGACAAAGACTTTCAAATTACTAATTGAACTCTATCCTTCTGCGGTAGCTATCAGGAACGAGAAAGTATGAAGAATTATAAATGTTTCACTGTTTGGCTCAACTTTTTTATCGTTGATTGTACCATCAAGGATATACCATGTTCTAGTTTAAGAAAGCTTGAACTACTGTATAAATTTTGCATATATGGATGGACTTTATTGGTGCTAATGTAAACAAGCATTACTATACGGTATATAGTATATAGTAGATTCAGAGTTACCCACAGTTATTGCGCCGATAAATGATATTCAACAGAGTTCTCATTATCTCATCTATATACACAAGATTTATTAATAAAAACTTTTCGTCTCTTGCGACTCTATTACAGATCAAAAAAAAATTATTACTTCCGAGATACATCCAACTTCATATTTCTTGAGGGAGTTGATACAGTCAGACTAGATTTAGCAGGGCGAGACTTTTCTTCTCAAGAATTGACTATATAAAAGTCTGTTATGTTTTTGCATCAGAGAAATTGTTTCACTGCAGTGTATTGAGTTTTTCCTACATCAAGCATTAAACAGCGCAATCTCATTTCATGCATAGTTCAAACTCAGTCCAGAACTTGGTTTAGAACTGAGGTACACACACAGAAATGGTTTCACAATAAAGATAAGATCTTGTATAATCCATTTGCATCAATACATACATTGTGGTAATGAGCATAGTCAGAATCTCTTAAAAAACTATATGAATGGGCAACACAATAAACCAATAAAAGCATAGAATAGATCCAAAAAAAAGGAGAAACATTCTAGAGATACGTACATTCTAGAAATGGAAGAGTCACTGTTATATATGTACACAACATATTCCCTCTACCAAATTAGAAAGGGTCCTAAAATGGTTAACTTATATCAACATTCCGCGTAAAGAGGCATTCTTTGAAGATTGTTTACCTGTAGAGGCAGGTGATATATAGGGAGTGACATATAGGGAGTTAGAAATTATCTAGTTCTATAGTAAGTAATACGTATAAAAAAAGAGGGGGTTCGTGTAAGATTTTATTCATGCAAGTTACTGCTTAATTTCTTTCCTGATAAACTAATCGATTAGAACATTATGGTCATAGTTAAGGGCAATCAAAGAAGGAGCAAAAAAATACTACGCAATGATTGACGATAGCCAAGATGATCCTCAACGGAAAAAATTTTTGCTTACTATTACGAGTACGAGATGATCAACATCTTCGCATAGGAAAAAGTAAATAGCCAACACGGACATTCCATGTTATCCTGTTTAAGTAATAAAGAAATAAATAAATCGAATATAACGCCGAGTATTGTTGGGCACATGTGGGTTTGGTGAGGTGATAGCCTTTTAAACTAATTATAATGTGATAATCACCTAAACAAAATAAGACTTTGTGACATCATAAGTTTCATTAACGGTATACCTTATTTTACTGTGGCCAACCAGATTTGTACCAAACGAGCCCATTTCATCTCGGAAAATACGGAGATGTCCAACGTATTTTCTTAATCGAGCTAGGCGTTTACGCCATCACTTGAAAACAAAGAAATCGGTTTATTTGTTTGGATTCCAACTTTCTAACCATATTAACAGGCCACCTTACCGCTAAGGAGATGATTGAGTTGGTGTTACTATCAATCGGAAAAGGCACCAAATCTATTGTTACAGTCAGGGGCTATTAGTATGGTTATCTATATATACATAATCCCTCTCGATAACATCGGTTGTATAAGAAAGGCAGTTTTAAAAATAGCTCATTCTTTAAACTTTTTCTGGTGACAGCCAAGCGGTCTAGATGGTACATTCCTTTTCCCCTCTCCCTCTTTCGTCCCTCCTCCTCCCTCCTCCCTCCTCCCTCCTCCCCCTTAATGTTGTGTGTGGCTGTTTTACGAACCAGCTATTGTCGTTCCGATTTCGGAAATCAACTAACAAGGCGCAAGTTTGTTATTACATTAAGACAAAAGTATTGTTTCATGTTTACCAGAGGGAAGAATGAGTTCAGCGGCTTGATAATCGTGTATAATGATCACTTGTACAACTGCTGTCTTGCAGAACTAATACCAACAGAGAATAAATTGGGAACCAAAAGCCCTTTGCTCTTCAATGAGTTTACCCACCCTGATGACAGCCACAACCTGACTTATCACGGGAATTTCATATGAAAGATCGTCTGTAATCGAGTGTTTGTCCATGCGCACAAAAAAAATAAAAAAGAATTGTTCTGCATTAACCCGAGTTGCGATACTATCCCCCCACATTTAATACAAATAAACTTTTATGGGGTTTTATGAATTGTACGCGGAAATTTTACATGTACATCGCCAGTTGACATTTAATGTTTTATCAATCTGAGTGATGAGTTATTGAAGGGGTGGGAGGAGTGAGTGTATCCATAAGCCGGTACAATCAAGTAATTGGTCGATGCTTTTCATGACTAAGAAATAATTAATAGGCAACGATTCTAAGTTTGTTAAGTTTGTTTGTTTGTTTTATAGTAGCTCGGGCTAATACATGTTTGTCTGACTAGCATAACAATCGCGTAAATCATAGATAATCAGCGATCCCAAGTCCATGTTGAACTGTGGTGATGAGATCTAGAATGCTATATCCCGGGGTGCAGACAAAATCTGATTGATATCTTGCATTCTTTCGTAGCTCTAAAGAAGGGAAAGGGAAGGGGGGAAAAGGGAAGGGGAGACAAGGGAAAAGGGATTGTGAGAGTCATAAAGAGATATCTGCACGATTATCTCCATTTAACCCATTCTCACATGACATTCCTGATTTCTCCACGCTAGGATATCACATTCAAACATCACCGGAGATCTCTTATCCAAATTCATAATAAAGCTGAAAGCCATACATGCATGATATATCACACGGAGTAGTACGCATTGTAAATGACTGGGCTAGTCTATTGTTTATTTCTTTTTATTGATCATACCGTATCGATGGGTTATCCGTGTGAATATTGCGCATTTTAATATCAATATGTGAATTCATCGAATACTCAATATTATTGGTGAACAAAGCGTCTCCGAACGTGCTTCTCAGATTCAGGGGGAGAGATAGTGAACGTACTGCATATATTCGGGCAGAGGAGACAGAAAAAAAGAGGGGAAAATTCGTTGGTCAGTAGAAACCTGTTTGAACAAGGAGATTGCCTCAAATACAGTTAGTTGTAACCAAACAAAAAACGTAATAGACGATTAATATGGTTTCTCAATAGTCAGCTAATTCGAACCATTCGTTGTCCAGATTGCAGCTTTATTTTGAACACCGTTAATGTAATTATATTTGGGCTGCATTGGTCAAAGAGAAGATAATAATAGCGTTGGTCACGTATGTGTTGGTTGGTTGGTCTACGTGGGTGGGAACTTGTCAATAGAATTAATAGAATTCTAACCACAAAGTGTGTGGTGGATGTTGGATGTGGTGGATGTTGGATGTGGTGGATGTGGTGGATGTGGTGGATGTGGTGGATGTGGTGGATAGATTAAGACGATTGTCAATGTGGGTTTTCAGAATTAATAATATTCAAATATCACACACTCTTTACAACATAATTTCATTTCTCTCAGAACAAATAAAGGTGCCCTTATTTTATTATTTCTCTCGAAATTCGATCGTATCTTTGTTTCTCTCGAAAGGAAACGCGAATATCGGGGTTTCGATCGATCGATCGATTGCTTGTAAAGTCGAAAAATGTTATATATTTACATGCTATTTTCAGGGAATATTCTTAAAAATGGGAGGGATGTCGACGCTTATTTTATATTACGAACGAAGTCTTATAAATAATATGCCGCACTCGATATGATTGAGTGCTAAAAAAACACCTACTAAAAAAAAATAAAACGACTAAAAAAAAAAAAAAAACCAAAGTCCTGCACCGAAGTTAATTTAACAAATTTCGAATAAGCATTGCCTCTTTGGAGTCGGAGTCGTCGTCTTTTTTCTTATCCTCGTTCCCGCATGATATCACTTCAACTTTCATGTTCTCTTTTCTCCAAACGTCTATTTGTTCTATGTTATTATTTACATTCAACTCGTCGGTATGGAATACGAGCTGTCCAGAATTCTCACGATTACCCGTAGAACACATATCTATATGCATATCATTCTTCTTCTCTTTCTCTAACCCTAACTGATCGTTTATCGATATCGGTGATGGAGGCGAATTTGATTCGGGAGTTATCGGAGATAAAGCACCGTCACTATACGTATCGTTGGTAGGAGCAGGAGATGATTTTGACTGTCTTGCTGAATCGGATTGGCCACAATCGGAGGCTGCGTCGTCTTCCACGACAGCAGATTGAGGAGAGGAAGCAGTGGTAGACGAGGTCGTTTCGCCTGGACGACGGCGTTGTACGCCTCCTCTTGCAAAGACACCATCGTGATATGAATGCATGTGTTCCGGATCGATTGCCCAATAACCACCTTTCCCTTTTGAGCTGTTGGTACCTGGACCTAGTTCTGTGTCTGATCGTGGGACTCTCTTGAAGCATCTGTTTAATGAGAGATTATGACGGATAGTGTTCTGTTGTTTTTGAATAAACAAAAAAGAGGGGAAAACGTGTTAGCAGATTATGCGTGCGTGTGTGTATCTTGTGTGTATCTTGTATGTATGTATGTATGTATGTATGTATGTTGTATTGTCTGTCAATTGACTAATGTTGGCCCTAACTACAACTATTCTCTTGCAACTATCCTTCATTCCAAAACCATAATTACCTGCCATCCGGTATCGTCAGGCTTGTACATAGTCGGATATTTGTCCATAATCCATTTGTAAATTTCTTTCAACGTCAGTTTCTTCTCTGCCGAACTCAATATCGCTTGTGCAATCAGTGAAGAGTATGAATAAGGAGGCCTACGTCGCTTCCTGGTAGATTTGCTATTTAGTTCGGGAGTAACAGTCACGAATTGTTCGACCGTGTTCATTGGAGTTCCGCCGCGAGTAGGGCCGGCAAAACGCAGAGGCAGAGTTGGTCGAGGCTGGAGCGGTTGTTGAGAACGTTGAGTTTGAGTAGGCCGTTGATGACAAGAATGATTTGTATGAGAGTGAGCCGTAGGGATATGTTGTTGATATATTGATGATGATGAGGAGTGCATTGTTGGAGAATACATTAATGTCGGGTGAGGGGGGAGGTGTTGTTGTTGCTGAATGGATGATGATGATATAGACATTGCTTGTTGACCATGTGGGGGGTATTGTTGCTGGAAGCAATAAGAAGGATTTATGCGTTGAGGAGAAGGTACTGGCATGCTTGGAGGCGGCTGCTGTATATGATGAGGAGCCGGATGCATCGTTTGATAATGATATGGATGTGGAGCAGCTCGCGGAGCCATTTCTACCATAGATTGTTGTTGTGAGGGCAGATAAGTTGGAAAATTATGAGAGTTTCCTGGCATTTGATGGTTAGAATGTATTGAGGTTTGTTGAAGGGGGAGGGAAGGGGTTTGTGCTGACGGACTGCCAGGAAAGAAAGAGGGATGGCCCCGCGCGGGAATGATGCTGGAAATAGAAGGCAGTTGCTGTGTTCTTGATGCGGGATAAGAATGATGACCATATTCATGCGAGTGAGGATAGGATGGATGAGAAGGTGGAGGATGCATTTTGGAAAATGCGTGTGCAGGCGTGTGTTTTGTGGTTTTGCGGTTTTGTGTGGGGGGGAGGGGAAGCGAGGAAAGGAATCAAGAAAATATTAACAATTCGTGATAAGAATGGGTTGGGGTCTGAGTAAAGTGTAGAGAGACTGCGGTTGACATTTAAAGGAATATCATAAATCTTCCTTGCGTTCTTGACTCATATATAACTCAGACTGCGATCGGTAAGTGAAAGAGTTTGTTGAGAAGGCAGTGGAGGTTTTGTTCGTTTTATATATATATATATTGGGGATTGTCGGGTAAGGTTACTTACTTTACTGTTTGTGTACAAATAACAAACGTAAATATAAAGTAAACTATACAAACAATTGATATTTTATACAGTTTTACATGTTTTATATTCATATTGTTGACTAGATGTTATTATATAAAGATGCATTATGATATATATATAAATATTCCCTATTATGTGATACTTATTTGTATTCATAAACACCAAATATACATGTTTATATTATGATTATTAATGAATATGATAATCTGCAAACATCACCCGTTACGACAGGGATACCTCAACAATACACCCCGGTTCGGTTTGCACCCTTGAATGTCGTCACCCCTCCCTTTTTTTCTCGAATGGGTGATAAATATAGAAGTTGGTTGCGTGATAGAAATATCATATATTATATATTGTATGGATATACGAATATATGAATGTACTGATTGAATGGAACATACTACATGTTTCTATTGTAAATGGTATATACAATTGCCCATTGAGGATTTTAGGCTAGTCAATAGAACAACTAGGATATGGTTCGGCAAACAGGCCAATATGTGTGAAACCCAACATACCCATTACATTCTGTCTGTCTCTATCCTCCAAACTCGTCCAAGAAATTGACCATTTCTACTACGTTTCATACCATCAGTTACAAACACAAACACATACACATACAAATACACATACAAATACACATACACATACACATACACTACACATACACATACACATACCACACACATAGACACACACACACTACCCTATACACATCCTATACATATTAATCCCCATACATAACACCCCATCAAACTATCGCTCATCCCCACTCATCCGATGACTCATTCATTCGCTTTTTTTTTTTTTTTGTTTTTTTTTGTTGATAGCTATTGTTTCACTTTTATGCGATACCAGTTGTTTACTTGAGCTGATCATTTTGCACAACCTAACAAACAATATCATCAAAAAAAATTTAATGGACAAGGCCGAGCATACAAGGTTTTCGAGATATGAGTACGATATAAATAGTATGGGTTGATTATTGATTAACCAATGGTTATGTGTCTGTGATATGTGCCAAGTCGTCAAAGTTGAGCGTATTTATATTATACAACATGCATAACACTGTCTGTATTCTTTTCACCTCCAACCAATCGTTGTTTTACTAAAGCATGTGACATTTTGTTTTGTGTCAATGTGAAGATTAATATTATTATTTTTTTCCCGCGGTTTCATATATCGGGAATTCGTGGGAGAACATATGGGAATGAATTAATATAACTGATAGCGAAAACAAGACCAATAAGGATAATAAACATAGCGATAGCAATGATAGTATTCGTCAAGAAGAAAAAAATTTTTTTTTACAATAACCACCCTTATTGTTGTGCTTGATATACTGATATATCACTATTGTTATTGCCATGATTGGAATTTTGTGATAGGACTGGTTTTAGGAAGTAAGATGCCGGTGACGTGAATAATATTAACATATTAATACTAGGTGTTACAATGCTAATCCGATTAACTATTTTGACAAGGGTAAATATAGTAATCAAGCGGCAGATTTCACAGAGGGCAAACCCCAACATATTGAATTGCTGATAGAGAGATTTGGTTGTTTCCATCATCATTTTCTTTCGTCATTCGCTCCCTTATTCGCCTATCCAAGCCACTCGGATCTCACTTTTCTTGTGGGAGGCATTGTGTCGATCATTTAGCAAAACGTGTCGAGTTGTATCAATGTTGTACTACTGATTGCTATATAACCGTTAACAAAGGGTTTCTTACCAAAGCGAAAGTAATACAATCGGAAAATGTAGGATATATTAGACGCTCTGTGATGTTTGTGATGGGCTTGATGTGAGAGCATGCCGTATATTGTTAGTTATACAATACTCTCGGAAAGGTACGCGAGTTCCCATCATTAATCTAACCCGAAATATCGATGGGCTATCGACCACTACATAAGACAGTCTCATTGGCTAAAGATGCTCCAGTGGCGTAATTCCAACATATTCTGCAATCTGATACACTTGTTATCACTCCTTTAAACCTGTATGTAGTATGAGGTATCGAATTGGAAAATCTCTTCAAAGGGTACACATACCGGACATTTTCTTAATAGGAAGATACACAAAAGCTTATTGTATATGTGTGACAATCAATAAGAGCCTTATTATATAGTACACAGTTGCATGAGTATAATTCTTACAGCAGTCCATACATTCTCAAGGCTAACGTAACGTTTCAAAAAACTAACAAAAAAAGCTATCGCTATGCTTGGTGCTCGCCACTGTTTTTGTTATCTCTACGATAATCAATATAGTAATCAGTTATTGTTAATGTGTGAATCAGTTATTTTTGTAGTAATTATTATCGATGTCAACACTTTAAACAAACAAACAAAAAGTCACGATGTAATATGCAATTAATAAGAGTGCAGTTAGCTTGGAATCGTTATTCTTGTTTTTACAGTCGCTGGTCACTATACTAAATCACAATCTATTCCAAATTCTAAATAGTGAGAAATCACTTCTCAGCCATTGACATCATGATGCATTTCCATACTGACGATTACCAAGTATTTAATGGTTTTAGTTAACACTACAGTGTTTTGTAAAGTAAATATACAATCTTATTTTTATTGCCTTTACCGTCGTCAAGTGTAACTAGTTGTCGGTTGTATTGCACATAGATATCCATATTTATAAGGGTTTTTTTTTCATCACAGATTTACTGTATTCAGCCTCTCAATGAGCGACCGAGTCTTGGAATATCTTGAAGAATAATAATAATTATATTATTATTATTATTATTATAACAACTCTAATAATTAAAGTATTGCATGCATATGATTCTAACCAAGCTCATACTTGTAAGAGAACAGCTTTAATAATAATAAGATGATCTCTTATCAACTAAAGGGATTGATTAATCATCACAGTAGTACGGCATGGAAAGCTTGGAAGAAATAATATTCCTACTTCTTAACTGGTATGAGTTTCCGTCCTCTCTCTGCATGACGCATAATATCACTTGCTTTAGTTATGTATCACTACTCCCTCCCCTCTTATTACCTCCCCTCTCATTACCTCCCCTCTCATTACCTCCCCTCTCATTACTTTGATATAGACTCAATTACACACCCTCCCCCTCCCCCAAATTGCAGGCCTTGAAATTTACTAGTAAAACATGAATCTCTGTACTGTGTAAGAAGCAATAATGTAGGTATTGTTATGAAGCTGATTGCTTGTACTTTTTTCGAAAATGATGATGTTCTTGTCGAAATCTATCATCGATACAAGGCTGCATAATATTCGATACAAGGGCTGCAGTTCTTTGAAGTGATAGTAGATAGGTTACACATCTATGTATTTCAATTCATCACTATTCGAATAAAGGGACTTTTTTTTATATGGTTTATTGGTAAAATTCAAGGCCCTGCCAAAGACTTTTTACCATGCAGAAAATATACGCGTTTATATAGTCATTCAATTGTTCTGAATTTAGACAAACAGAAAGGACAAAGGAACAAAGAAACAAAGAAGAATGCATCGAGTCTATTGTAAATAATGACACAATAGTATCACATACGAAAGCAATAGTGCAAGTCAAAACAAGGTCAAAACGGTTATGATTACAATTAAATATAATAATCATAACAATAATATAGCACTAGTGCCATTCAGAACGTATCATAAGAACAAGGGACATGGCGATATTATTAATTTGATTAGTATGTCTTAGCCACAATGACACATATTAATGGTAAACATGACGATATCGAATATAAACTCTTGTATCTTTGTTATGTCACCCATAAAACACTGGGACATATAAAAAATATATTAGTCATAATAAAATCAACAATAATTAATTGATACAAATACAAGTGTACATTAATGGTTGCCGACTATTACATTGTCGATATCTCATATTTGTATAACGGTAAATCGCCGTTTATTGATCGACTTTCATTTTGCATTCCTTAAGCCTTGATCTACTGCTTGGTTTTCCGTATAACGTGGTACTCCGATAGCACCCCCCCCCCTCTGAGATTAAGGTTTTTGCGCAATCGCCGAAACTACACCATTTGTCGTCGGGTAGACGGAACTTGCTGTATTTGCGATATGACAACAAAATAATGTATGCCAGCGATAATCAACCATGATTTATCTCTCCAATGAACGCAAGTCATCTCGTATATGTTACATCCCATGCTTTTGCTCCCCGTTTCGAACAATCCCCATTATTTGTCACTCAACAACAACAACAACAACAACAACATTAACATCAACATCAACATCAACACAACAACAATAACACAACAACAACAACAACAACAACAGTAACAACGACAAGTTACGCCATTCCTGTTGCAATCCCAGCTCATGGAATTCAAATGTCACCGTCACTCAGGTTGGGCTTGACAAAATTTACATGTTGTTTACTTAATATAGGAAGTCGTCCAGTGGAGATATCAAACAAGGACTGCCCAATAGGAAAACTACACCGACTGTTTATGTAACCGAAGCTTATGTGAGACAGATTAGAAGATGTTACCGGAAAAATCGTGGGAGCCGGAACGCGAGGACAGGTTAGGAAAAGAAAAAAACTTTTTTCCCCCCCACAATTAGATGGGAATATTCGGACAAGAGAGATTATCGGTCATGATATGTGGATAACCTCGGTTTTTTTGCCAAGTCAATGCGCGTACCACCGGAGA